AAGTTATGCACTGAAACGAATCATACGTCACAAAACGTCATCAATCCATTGTTCTAATCTCGATTTTTTCTCCCTGTCTCCTCCACATAACTCGCGGAAAGCCTGGTACCGACAGAATTAGTATGCTGCCTCTACGAGGCAGCAATAAACTGCAAACGTCATTCTTCATCATTTGAGCAGTACCATTTAATACAACAATAAAAAATGAGGCAAAAATTTCGTTTCATAAGCACTTTTTAAGGTAGGTTACAGTCCCTTCTGCGCATGTCTGTGATTGTTTTTGCCTGGGGATTCCACCGGAAGTTGGCATCTCGATTTATACTCGGTCCAGTCTCATATCTGGCAATGACACGCGCGTTGTTTTTTTCGTGAGCGAATTTAAAATAGCAAAGGAGTGAAGAATTTCCCAAAATATTTTGTGCTTTTTTGAGCGACAATATCCGTCAAGTAACGAGTTATTGAGGCAACATGACGAGTAGGAAAGAATACTGGCTGCCTTTTCTGTGTGCGTTCCCCCATGATACTACATCCTCAAGCCTCTACTAAAGGTTTTCAAGAAAAAATCCAAGAAGGTTTGGACATTTCACCCAACATAGCAGCTATTCACCCCCTGAACTGTGGATGCGCCAGTGAAATCGCTTGTTGAAGCCCATCAAAATCGAGGTTTTAATGACTATAAAATTCTAGCTCTTTCTTACACTATTTTAATACACTATCGTTATATACGAACTGTTCTATCTATTTTATTTACAAACTGAAACCCATGATATAATTAAGGCCTATAAAGATATGACACTCGTGAGTAGGAGTTGTCGATAAGAAAGTATTAATGAGCAATTTGGAGAGTCAACATGTTATGGATGGCTGTTTATATATAGTGTTTATTGTCAGAGTCACAAATGATAATTAATCTACTTGGCTGTGCTTTACTGTCTTTGACTGTTTTCTCATGGACAACTTGTGCTGACTTAATAGAAATACATACAATGTTTCTCTGACAATTAAACTATATTTTAATTTGATCAAAGCATTTAACAGTTTACATGCCTTTTATATAGTTGCTCTGAGTTACAAGACCTAATGGGGTGTTTATATAAAGGCAGGCCAGCCCGGGTACCTGAGCTAGCTCGCTTGGCCGAGATCTAATGTTGTTAGATATTTTATACTAATATTCGTATTGTGTTTACAGTATGTGGGAATTCGAACTAGGCTGCCTCGTCTAAGCGAGATCTTGCTTAATTTGCGAAACCCATGCAAATAGATCTCACCTAGGTGGGCTGGCTCGCCTATGCCGCTGAATATGAATATGAATATATTGTTGTAAGTAAGACATTTGATAAATAATTTTAAAAATTAATTGTTTTGGTGAGTCAGTCACTCAGCCCGCCACAGAATGAAATCAGCTCGGCAAAGCCGCTTAGCGCAGGTAACCGGGCTGGCTCGTCTCCATATAAACACGGCCTAAGACATTTAGGGGCTGTTTATATGGTCCCGCTTACCCGGGATTCAATGAAGTGTGACGTATTTTGAGCAATTGAAATAAGTCTCACTTCATGCTCTAACAAAATTGCTTGTTACAAATTGTATGAAATTCCGTGTTTTAGACAAAAAAACCAATGTTTTTTAATGCTATTGATCGTCTTCTTCCACTACATCATAACTTCTAGGACTTCTAGCGCGTTCCAACAATATTTAAAATTATCTAACTTTTGTTTAGGGCTGAAACACGTATTTCAATTGCTCAAAATACGTCACACTTCATTGAATCCCGGGTAAGCGGGACCATATAAACACCCCCTAAAAGGGGTGGACGAAAGGTAGTTTACGAGATGATTCCAAAATTGAATTAAGAGTTTGCGTTAGTATTAGGGTGGGGGTCTGAGTGTGGGGGTTAGGTGTGGGGTGAGGGTTAAAATGATCTTAAAACCTGGGGGGCCACCTTTAATACCTGCCTGCCACCTTTAATACCTGCCTCTAGTAGCCACGACCATAAAATCACTGCACATGACGCATTATCAGTGATTCAACAGGATAAAAAGCTTATGAATTATTAATGATGTTTGAAGTTCTAGTTCCAGCACGCGTAGGAGTGTTTATCGGATATAAATAGCTCAATGCTGACGTTAAAGGAAGATCATACCAATATTCTGTGTGTACAGGAAGAACATTCCTTGACCGATCAATCAATGGGAAGTGAATTTGCATTTTTTACGTTCAAACACGTCAAAATGAATGCCCCCTTACTGATAAATGCTATTTATTGATATTTAATATCTATGTTTATATTATATATAAACTATATATTGGAATTTACTGAATTTATATTTAAAATTAAAAAATGTATCTTTGAACAAATGAAAAAAAGTGAAAAATGTGTCTTGATTTGAGCAAATGAAAAAAAATGTCTTAAAAAAAAGAACAATGAAAAAAGTGAAATAATGTGTCTTTGAACAAGGTTATCAAATGTGTCTTTGAAGATGTTGTCCAAGAATAAATTTGTCTTTGAACAACGTTAAATAGAGAATAATACATGTGCGCGCGGAAATAGCAGATTTATTTCGAGTGTTGAACATGATATCTCAAGAGTGTGCGCAGCGGACGAGTGAGATATCATGTTAAACACGAGAAATAAATCTGGTATTTCCAAGCATCCATGTATTTTTCTGTTTATTATATAAAGGACAGTCTTTGAAAAGCGATAATTTTTACAGAAAAGCGATAATTGAAAAGCGATAATTTTCACATGTGA